TGAGGATGGTGATGGATGGAGGAAGGATGGTGTAGGAGGAGGAGGATGGTGATGGTATGGAGGTGAAGGATGGTGTAGGAGGGAGGAGGAGGAGGATGGTATGAGAAGGATGGTGTAGGAGGGAGGAGGATGGTGTTGGATGGAGGGAAGGATGGTGTAGGAGGGAGGAGGATGGTGATGGTGAAGGAGGTGAAGGAGGTAGGAGGGAGTGAGGATGGTGTTGGATGGAGGGAAGGATGGTGTAGGGAGGAGTGAGGATGGTGATGGTATGAGGTGAAGGATGGTGTAGGAGGGAGGAGGATGGTGATGGTATGAGGAAGGATGGTGTAGGAGGGAGGAGATGGTGATGGTATGAGGTGAAGGAGGATGGTGATAAAATGGTATGAGAAGGATGAAAGAATAACAGGATGATGATGATGATGATGATGATGATGATGATGATGATGAGATGAAAGATGATGATGCAGGATGATGGTGAATATACTGTAGCCATGAAGAACAACAATGAAAACAAACACACACACACACACACTCTCTCACAACACACAAACGCAATATTTTATTAAACCAGAAAATAAACAACTGTAGTGATGGAACTGTATCCTCCCCACCCACCCACACTCGCTTCCCCACCCTCACACACCCCCCCCCACACCCACCCACACCCACCCACAGCAAATAAACCGATGTACACCCCACAGTCCTGAGTGGCAAAGGAAATTGTGTTTATTTATAACTGTGCTGTAGTGTCCGGTTTTAACATAGCGACCGTGTTAACATAGCCAGATTAAATTTTTTAACATTGTTCTTATTATGATGTACCGATTTAACATAGCTGGTTTATTATGTCTGATGGACCGTGTTAACATAGCCACATAATAGCCTTTATAACATAGGTCTGATATGTTAATTGGGTCATATTAAACATAAATAATACTAACGTTTTAACATAAATTTAACATTATCAGATAGTTCAAATTTAACCTAACCAGGTGAAACTTTTAATATGTATCAGAAAGTAGTATTAATCCAGTCATTCAGTCAGTCAGTCAGATAGTCAGTCAGACAGTCAGTCAGTCAGTCAACCAATCAGTCAGTCAGTCAGTCAATCAACCAGTCAGTCAGTCAACCAATCAGTCAGTCAGTTGTCTTCTAGGTCAGGTAGGAGACTTAGCCTTACCAGTCAGTCGATATAAGAACCTGTCAACTGGGAAGGTAAAACTCAGGTAAGGTTGAGATAATCTCTCTCTCTCTCTACATTTGTCCTGTCTTCCTTCCCATCTCTGTTTTCTTTCTTCCCATTTCTTTCTCTCTCATATTTTCAACATTACCTTTTTTTCCTTCTCTCTCTCGTTACCAAAAAGCCTTCCAGTATTTTAGATTTACATTTTCTTTCTCCTCCTCACTCACCTCTCCCCCTGCTCCTCTTTCTCCTCCTCACCTCCTCCTCCTCTTCTCACCTCCTCCTCCTCTCTCACCCCTAACTCCTCCTCTTCCTCACCCTCATCTCTCTTATTCTTGTGTCTCCGTTTTCTCCTCCTCCTCCTCCACCTCCTTCCACCCACCACCACCTCCTCCTCTCCTCCTTACCCACCTCTCATCCACCACCTCCTCCTCCTCTTCCTCTCCTCCTCCTCTTCCTCCTCTTACCACTATCCCTCCTTCCTGTACACTCTAAGAACAGCTCCTCACGTGTTCTCCCAGGTGGTGATGACGTTGTGTTTACTGCCACCATCGTGAAGAATAGCCGTGAGGTGTGTGTGTGTTTGTATAATAATAATAATAATAATAATTAACGGTTTATTGAAGCAGGCAGCCCGAAGGCTGAAAATATACATTGACATAAATGACTTATTACATACATTGGTGGTTTAACAAAAGCCTCTCATTAGAGAAAGGTAAAGGAACATACAGTGAACATACAGATTAATGTAGGTGTTGAACAGCAAAACGTAGTGTAGTAACTCCCTCCCAGATGGTGTTAGGAGGGACCTGTGTAGTTCCCCACAGAGATGTTTGAGGCCTCACGTGGTGTAGTACCTCACAGATGGTGTTATGAGGGCCTCACGTGGTGTAGTAATTCCTCACAGATGGTGTTATGAGGGCCTCACGGTGTAGTAATCTCACAGATGGTGTTATGGGGGCCTCATGTGTAGTAATTTCACAGATGGTGTTATGAGGGCCTCACGTGGTAGTAATCACAGATGGTGTTATGAGGGCCTCACGTTGTGCAGTAATCCTCACAGATGGTGTTATGAGGCCTCACGGTGTAGTAACCTTCACATATGGTGGAGGCCTCACGGTGTAGTAATTCCTCACAGATGGTGTTATATGAGTGAGGTCTGGTTCCAGGCCTTCCATCGTAGACGGATTAACACATCGCTGGTAGTTGGTCTCACAGGCCGTTATCACTGGGTACCTGGGACCTCACTGTGTGAAAGGTCAACTTGGGTACCACTGTTACTGCTGAGTTGTTCTCACTGACTTAAGCACTGTTCACCACTGTTCACCTCTGTTTAACACTGGTTCCATTTTCCTAAAATGAAATAGTAACTTCTGCGTGAACTTGTTGATATTCCGGTGGGAGGAGGGTTCAGGGAGGGTGGTATGGGCCAAAAAACAGTTGACCTGGCTGCCTGGGAGAGGCGGTACGTCTTGACCTTGTGGTCAAGGATGTAGTTTGTGTGTGTGTGTGTGTGTGTGTGTGTGTGTGTGTGTGTGTGTGTGTGTGTGTGTGTGTGTGTGTGTGTTGGCCTTCATCTTGCCCCTTTGATTCATGAAGCTTAGCGAGAACACACACACACACACATCAGTCAACAAACCACACTGAAGCAAAACCTGCTCATAACTTATTGTAATCCTTCTGTCTGTCTGTCTGTTCATCTGTCTGTCTGTCTGTCTATCTGTCTTTTTTCCTTCCCCATAATGGACCCACATCAATAAATTCCACCACACACACACACACACACACACACACACACACACACACACACACACACACAATCAGTCAACAAACCACACTACTGGAAGCCAAAACTGCTCATAACTTATTGTAATCCTCTGTCTGTCTGTTCGTCTATCTGTCTGTCTGTCTGTCTATCTGTCTTTTTTCCTCCCCATAATGGACCCACATCAATAAATTACCACACACACACACACACACACACACACACACACACACACACACACACTGAAAAGTCTTTTGGAAGCTGAATATAATATTTATTTACATACAAATTACTCACAAAATGTCTCACCTTCTTCTGTGAGAATTATGGGAGAATTCTTCTTTTCATGATTTGGAGAGGGTTAAATTATAGGCTAAATATATATTTATATTTCTCCATATATAATATTTTTTCTCCTATAACTCCTTTTATGGGTCTATAATTTCTACTAAAACCAAGCTTCAAAACTTCCTATAATATTAAGGTTATAAACATATCATCACTATATCATCACTATATCACTATATCCAATACAACAGCATCACACATCATCATCAACACGATCGTAAACCTCACAAAATAAAGTAAAATTAAATAAATAAATAAATAAATAAAATAAATAAATACACGATACAAATATATAAATGAATAAAAAGTAAAAAAAAATAAAATAAACTTATGTATCCTCTCATGCACGCACACCACTGAACACCAAGAAACACTCGACATCAAAGTAGTGTTTGATTTAGTGTGGAGTCTATGTGTTTTATGGCTACTGGAGTTCTTATAAATAATAATAATAATAATAATAATAATAATAATAATAATAATAATAATAATAATAATAATAATAATAATAATAATAATAATAATAATAATAATAATAATAATAATAATAATAATAATATTAATAATAATAATAATAATAATAATAATAATAAATAATAATAATAATAATAATAATAATAATAATAATAATGCTAACAGTAATAATACTAAAAGCAATAATTACAACAATAACAGTAACACTAATGATAATAATAATAATAACAAGAATAATAATAATAACAATAATAACAAATAATAACATCAACAATAACAACAACACTAACAGTAACAATAATAATAACAACAACAATAACAATAACATCAACAATTACAACAATAACAATAACCAACAATAACAACAACAATAACAATAACATCAACAATAACAACAACAATAACAATAACATCAACAATAACAGTAACACTAATGATAATAATAACAATAACAAGAATAAACAATAACATCAACAATACCAACAACAACAACAATAACATCAAAATAACAACTATCACTATATCCTGGTTCCAAACACAACTATGTTCAGGTTAACAATTTCAGTAAAACAATACCCCCAACATTTTCCTTTGCCTCGGTAAGCTAAGAGAGAATGTATTAAGACATAATTCAGTGAACAAGACTGCCTTCCCTACCTTCTTGGCTTGGCTTAATGGCTTAATGGCTCTTTAGAAAACGTTCGCCAGTCTACTTCTCTCCAAGCTGTCAGAATACCACCTCCCCGATATGTTGCAACAGTGTGGTAGGTCTTGAGTCACGGCGTGCATAGTTGACCTCTGCAACATTGTGATTTACCCTTCTCTCTCTTCCTCTCACAGAATGCCTGCAAAAGACATTCGAATTATTTATAGTAGTAGACATAGAACAAAATAATAATAATAATAATACTAATAAGAAGAAGAAGAAGAAGAAGAAGAAGAAGAAGAAAAACTCTAAATAAACAAACTCATCATCTTCAGTGAGTAGTATTGGTCGGAGTTGTAGTGAAGATCGTGGTGGTACTGATGGTAGAATTGATTGTGATTGTGGTGGTAATCGTTGGTAGAGTGGCTCTACTTCACAGCAACTACTACTACTGCTACTACTATTACTACTACTACTTGTACTTTTACTACCACTGTTACTGCCGCCGGTACTGCACTGTTAATGTTTCTATGTTACTGCCTGCAGGAGGAAAGTAAACGTATCGGAGCAGTGAACGGTTTCATTTAATTAGTTAATTTCCTGCTGGAGGTCACCAGGGCGGGCGGCGGCCACCCAGCACAGAGGAAGTCAATTGACGGAATCTGGCTGAGTGGCGGGACCTGCAAGGTGAGTGGGTGTTCCTGACTGGTGGAAACCCTGGTCCTGGTGTTCTGGACCGGTGGAAACCCTGGTCCTGGTGTTCCTGACTGGTGGAAACCCCTGTCCTGGTGTTCCTGACTGGTGAAACCCTGGTCCTGGTGTTCCTGGACGGTGGAAACCCTGGTCCTGGTGTTCCTGACTGGTGGAAACCCTGGTCCTGGTGTCCTGGTGTTCCTGACTGGTGAAACCCTGGTCCTGGTGTTCCTGACTGGTGGAAACCCTGTCCTGGTGTTCCTGACTGGTGGAAACCCTGGTCCTGGTGTTCCTGACTGGTGGAAACCCTGGTCCTGTGTTCCTGACTGGTGAAACCCGTCCTGGTGTTCTGACTGGTGAAACCCCTGTCCTGGCGTTCTTGACTGGTGAAACCTGGTCCTGTTTCCTATTCGCATTGAAACCCTGAATAAAGAAGTGGAACAGTTAAAGACGGGATGGAGTAGCCAGAGTCTTCCCAGAACGTGTGAGGTGGACCTGGTGGTGCGAAACAAAGAGAGAGAGAGAATAAAGCTTTAAAATTTTATTGACGTGAATTTTAATTATCGTAACCACTGCTCATCAAACAAATGAAGGCAGACCACCTGATGCATCTCTCTCTCTCAACCCAAATAAAATCTTTCATTAAAACTAAAAGGATCTAATCTACCAAAGTGGGACTTCTGCGTTTTGCTGGAGGGAGATTTAATCATAGGGTAAAATGGAGAGGAGAAGGAGAGAGAGAAAGTGAGAGGAGAGTGTGCATCTCCTCCAGCCTGAACGAGATACTATAACTCCTAGATACGTTTATGAATACATATAGATTTTAACATTGACTTACTGGGATGTATATATATACTGTGGAAGGTATACATACTATAAATATGTATATATTTCACCCATTCTTGTCCAGGATTTACCCACGTCATTGATATCACTTCCATTACACAAATGGTGTGACCCTCGACCCACCTGCTTGTTTCTCTCCAGTCGAATCCCGGAGGCAGTTAACTGATAAGGGTTTTGATGTTTGTACAGTTATCAGATAAATGAGTACCAATTATCAGTAACCCAAACCTAATAACCCCTTCCAACCTCAACCCAACCCTAACCTAACCTAACAACTCACACCAATAACCTAACTAACAACCTACATCCTACCCTAACCTAAACACCAACCTAACTCTAATCCCAACCTACCTAATCCTCCCCCCTTCCCAACCCAACCCAACCCCCCACCAACTCACCTAACCCAACTAACCCTAACTAACCTAACCCAACCTAACCTAACTTACCCTTCTCCAACTTCAACCCTTCTACCTACATCATCTTCCTGTCATAATAAACACTCACCTATAATATAAACCCACACATCTTAACTTCTTGTACTCTAATCACCTCATTACCTCACCTTTACCTGTGATCCTTAATTAAAGGAATAAATGACCAGAGAATTACTGTTTGCTTGTGGCAGTATAAGAGAGGAGGTCAGGAGATTAGCCTCTCTTAAAGTTCAACAAAACAACGTCTTCTGTTTACCTGTCGTCTATTTACCTGTCTTCTGTTGCCTGTCCTTCTATTTACCTGTCTTCATTTCATCTTCCCGTTTACCTGTCGTCTGTTTACCCTGTCTTCTCTTTACCTGTCTTCTGTTTACCTGTCTTCTCTACCCTCTTCTCCTTACTGTCTTCTGTTTACCTGTCTTCTGTCTACCTGTCTTTATTTACCTGTCTTCTGTTTACCTGTCTTCTATTACCTATCTTCTGTTTACCATCTTATGTTTACCTGTCTTCTGTTTTCTGTCTTTTTTACCTGACGTCTGTTACCTGTCTTCTCTTACCTCGATGTTTACTATCTTCTCTTACCTGTCTTCTATTTGTGGTATAATAATGTCCAAGAAATGGTCTGTCACTCAGCTGGGCTTCCCCTTTCAATTTCAGAGTGATGTGTATACCTCAATGTTCTCGTATCTGGGTAGTTCAAGGTACACACTAGACCTCGGTTGGTGATACAGCTGGTTGAGTGTACAGTAGTTGAACAGCCTGGCTGGTTGAGTGAAAATACAGCAGCTAATTCGGTGTGTGGATTAGTATACACTGGTTAAAATACAGCTGGTTGAGTGAAAATACAGCTGGTTGAATGAAAATAGCTGGTTGAGTGAAAATACAGCTGGTTGAGTGAAAATACAGCTGGTTGAGTGAAAATACAGCTGGTTGAGTGAAAATACAGCTGGTTGAGTGAAAGTACAGCTTGTTGATGAAAATACAGCTGGTTGAGTGAAAATACAGCTGGTTAGTGAAAATACAGCTGGTTGAGTGAAAATACAGCTGGTTAAGTGAAAATACCAAATTGAACTCACAAGATCAGAAGAGATGAGGTTCTTTCATATAAATTTTACCTAACTCTTCATTACCGGTTAAGGTAAAAAATAAATCGTATTATCGAGAAATTAAATAGACGGCTCGAATTCATACAGTTTTCATACGTTAATTTTTTTCTCGTAAGGGGGAGATTTAGTTGACTGGTTTCATGTAAATAATAATCAGTAATGGAGTCAAAGTTAAGTTAAGACTTTACACACACACACACACACACACACACACCACCACCACCACCACCACACCACCACCACCACCACCACCACACACCACCACACCACCACCACCACCACCACCACCACCACCACCACCACCACCACCCTACCACCACCCACCACCACACCACCACCACACCCCACCACCACCACCCCACCCACACCACCACCACCACCACCACCACCACCACCACCACCACCACCACCACACACACCACCACCCTACACCACCACCACCACCACCACCACCACCACCACCACCACCACCACCACCCACCACCACCACACACACCACCACCACCACCACCACCATTCAGTTTTATCATCATTTCTCACATAGAAATAATTTATATAATATCCAGATTAACTTTACTATGTCATAAAATATTCCAACAAACAATTACTTCATTAACGATAATTACACATTGTTACCCCTGACGTCGTTTTATGATTCTCGCCTCGTTAGGTTAGGTTTGGTTAGGTTAGGTTAGGTTAGAGTTAGGTTAGGTTAGGTTAAGTTAGGATAATTTGTAACTGTAAATGGCTCCTTAAGCTACGTTTCTGAGATAGAGATATAAATGGAAGTTACAGCGAGACTCTAAGCTAAGATGTGTTTATTACAACGAGAGAGAGAGAGAGAGCGGAAAAATTAAACAACACAGAGATGGAGAATAAAAAATGAATAGGGAATGAGAGAGAGCGACAGGTATAGTGACAGACAGACACACACACACACACACACACACACACACACACACACACCTGTCATTACTCCTCTGACGTCACGTTATTAAATTTTTACGTCTTGTCATGTTGTACAGGTAGGTGTTACAGGCATGGGGAATGGTGTGAGGGCAGGGTACAGGTGTTGTGGGCAGGTGAGGAGAAGTACAGGTGTTGTGGGCAGGTGAGGGAGGTACAGGTGTTGCGGGCAGGTGAGGAGGGTACAGGTGTTGTGGGCAGGTGAGGAGGGACAGGTGTTGTGGGCAGGTGAGGAAGAGAGGGTTGCGGGCAGGTGAGGCAGGGTTGTGGGCGGGGAGGGCAGGTGTTGTGGGGCGAGTGAGAGGTACAGGGTGGGACGGTGCTGGGCAGGTGGGAGGTACAGGTGTTGTGGGCAGGTGAGGTACAGGTGCAGGCAGGTGGGGAGTACAGGTGTTGTGGGAGGTGAGGAGGGTACAGGTGTGGGCAGGTGAGGAGGGTACAGGTGTTGCGGGCAGGTGAGGAGGGTGCAGGTGTTGTGGGCAGGTGAGGAGGTACAGGTGTTGTGGGCAGGTGAGGAGGGCAGTGCGGGCAGGTGGGGAGGGTACAGGTGTTGTGGGCAGGTGGGGAGGTGTTGCGGGCAGGTGAGGAGGTGTGGGTGTGGTGGCAGGTGGGGAGGTACAGGTGTTGTGGGCAGGTAAGGAGGTACAGGTGTTGCAGGCAGGTGAGGAGGTACAGGTGTTGTGGGCAGGTGAGGAGGGTACAGGTGTTGTGGGCAGGTGAGGGAGGGTACAGGTGTTGTGGGGCAGGTGGGGAGAATAGGGTGTTGGGGCAGGTGGGGAGAATGCACAGGTGTTGTGGGCAGGTGGGGAGGGTACAGGTGTTGTGGGCAGGTGGGGAGGGTACAGGTGTTGTGGGCAGGTGGAAGAGGGGATGCAGGTGTTGGGCAGGTGGGGAGGGTACAGATGTTGTGGGCAGGTGAGGTGCAGGGTTTGGGCAGGTGGGGTACAGGTGTTGTGGGCAGGTGGGGAGGGTCAGGTTGCAGGTGGGAGATACAGGTGTTGTGGGCAGGTGAGGAGGTACAGGTGTTGCGGGCAGGTGAGGAGATACAGGTGTTGTGGGCCGGGTGAGGAGGGTACAGGTGTTGAGGGCGGGTGAGAGGAGTGCAGGTGTTGTGGACAGGTGAGGAGGTGCAGGTGTTGGGGGCAGGTGAGGAGAGTAGGTGTGCGGGCAGGTGAGGAGGTACAGGTGTTGTGGAGCAGGGGGAGGGTACAGATGTGCGGGCAGGTGGGAGTGTTGTGGGCAGGTGGGGAGGTACAGGTGTTGTGGGCAGGTGGGGAGAAGCAGGTGTTGGGGGCAGGTGAGGAGGGCAAGGCATGGAGTACAGGTGTTGTGGGCAGGTGAGGAGGTACAGGTGTTGCAGGCAGGTGGGAGGGGTACAGGTGTTGTGGGCAGGTGAGGGGGTAGGTGTTGTGGGCAGGTGGGGAGAGGCACAGGTGTGGGGCAGGTGAGGAGGGTACAGGTGTTGTGGGCAGGTGAGGAGGGTACAGGTGTGTGGGCAGGTGGGGAGGGTACAGGTGTTGTGGGCAGGTGAGGAGGGTACAGGTGTTGGGCAGGTGGGGAGGGCAGGTGTTGTGGGCAGGTGAGGAGGTACAAGGTGTTGTGGGCAGGTGGGAGAGGGTGGGGGCAGGTGAGGAGGGGCACAGGTGTTGGGGGCAGGTGGGGAGGGTACAGGTGTTGTGGACAGGTAGGGAGAGTGCAGATGTTGTGGGCAGGTGAGGAGGGTGCACAGGTGTTGTGGGCAGGTGAGAGGTACAGATGTTGTGGGCAGGTGAGGAGGGTACAGGTGTTGTGGGCAGGTGAGGAGGTACAGGTGTTGTGGGCAGGTGAGGAGAATGCAGATGTTGGGGGCAGGTGAGGAGGGTACAGGTGTTGTGGGCAGGTGAGGAGGGTACAGGTGTTGTGGGCAGGTGGGAGGGTACAGATGTTGTGGGCAGGTGAAGAGAGTGTCATTGTTCACTCTCATGCAGATTATACCCAATTGCATACCTGGACTGATTCGATCACATTTACACATTTAAACGTTACAAGATTTGGCCTTTAAAAAAATTTACATTTAATTTACAG